TGACTCAGTGATGGGAAACCCACGGGGATTACAATTAAGATGGAAAAAATGTACAAAATGATGTAAAAATAAACTTATTATATTATAAAAATATATATATATTACATTAAAAAAAAAAAAGCAGCTACTTCCAGTATCCAGAGCATCTGAAAGGAATAGCCACATCCGCTGTGTGCAGACTGTATTTCTTCAAATAGTTCATCTGAGGAAACCAGACACGACCCCCACTGGTGATGGGGAGGTGAAGCCCGTTTCCAGGAACAGCCAGTTCCTGGGCGCTGAGGCCCAGTTCACGCGGCGACTGGACACTGTGGGCCGGCTCCCCAGAGAAGCTCTTTCCCACCCAGTCTGCCCTGCTTCCAGCTGCAAAGCCCAAAGGGTCTTTGGCAAAAGACAGAAAAGGAATTACTGAAAAGCTGAGTCTGGACACACACAGCAGGGGGCACCCAAGAGGCCCGTTTCACAGCTGCCCACCAGGCAGGCGTGGAGGCCACAGGGTTTCCCACTGAGGAGCACTACAAAGCAATGGCCACCGGAAGCCTTACACAGCTGAGGAGGACACGGGTGAGGGGAGCGCAGCCGGAAAGGCTGGGCCAGCCAAGCCGTCAAGGAGATGAGGTAAATGACCAGGGTCGGAGCCACCGGGGGAGCCGAAGGCCATGACCACACCGCAGAGGGAGACAACCAGAATGCGCTCCTGACGGAGAGCAAACAGAGAGGGTGAAGGCAAGCCCAGAACGCGGGATGGGGCAGACTGAGGTGCACGGAGCGGGTCTGGCATTTCAGTCTCCACGGAGGGAGAGGCTGCAGCAGGGCTGGCTGCCAGGCCGGGTCGGGAGAGCAGAAGTCAGTCTTCAGACCAGAGGTGCCTCGGGACAGGAGAAACCACCAAGGGAAAAACACTTGGAAAGAAGTGAAGATGAGGACGTGACTTTGTAAAAGGAACTAGGAAAAAGGCTGCCATCTCCCCCACGTTCAGGGCGGGGAGGAGTCTACGGACTCGGAAACAGCTCGGAAGGGTTTCCCCGGACAAGAATCACGCCACGTTGTCCCTCACAGCTTACTGCATTAGGAGAAAAAGCCAGAAAGACGCTATTAGGGTTTTTTGAAAAACCTAGTTTAAAGTTATGTGCCTGTTCTTCATAGATTCGTCTCAACATCCTGGTGGAAGAGACAGCATGAGGGTCTCCACTATCGAATAGACAAGCAGGGGGTACGTGCCACTCTTTCCGGCTGGAATCTATTCCTGTGGGGAACTCGCTCCTTTCTGGGGGGCTGCAGGCTAAGTTATTTGTTTCCCAAAGTGGTGCACTGACAAGTGGCTACAGCACTTTGCAATTAGCAAATTTCCATTTACCCCAAGAGCCCTCATCTCAAAACTCCTTCCCAGTGTATTGTAAAACTAGGTCTTTTAGACTTCAGGCAAAGTTCCTAAAATAAGCCTCACGGAGTGAGGAACATTTAGAATGTCACACTTCTATGGATCGCCAAATTAGGCTTCTTTGATGGTGTCTTACAATACACGAGACACATCAGGAAGTATTTAAGGGTTTGGTGAATCTCAGAAGGCTTTTGGAATTTTGATGGCGTGTCATACATTTGAAAATGCCAAAGAAGGAATGCTCCCAGAGTTTCCGTGTTGCCTTAGCAGAACTACCTGCTAGGTCTCACCATTTCTAGACAGGTTACCCACCGCGATTACACTCACAGTTGCCACTAGCTCTAGAGATCTCAGGCAAGCTGTGCCAAGAAGTACCTTCGCTTTCACAGCAAAGCCTATCTCATGATTTACAGCAGGATCTACAAAACACTCTTTTCACCAAAATGGCTGGCGAATACGTAAGTATTTAGTGAAATTTCGTTTCCTACATGTTCCAAAGGACTCATAAATGAAAACACAGTATAGGCAGGACACAAACCAAGATGCCAAGAGCAAACACTAGCGTACCAAGCAAAATATCATAAGCATATTTCACGCCAAACGAGATTTACTACATACAATAACTCCACGGCAGCTGCAGGGAGGTGGAGTGGACAACGAACACGGCCTCTGGAGGGAAATATTTCACCAACACACACATTCCTTCCTGTGAAATTACTGTCTAACAGCACCTATCTTTTACTTGTCAGTGAAGCTGTAACTAAAAATTACTTACACCACAATAAAAACGCAATCTCCACTATCTAGACTTTTAAAAGATTACAAATAAAGACCTGATAACTTGGACATTTTTTGCCAAGGGAAAGTTGTATTAATGGTGCATGCGTGCCAAGGTCAATAATTAGCTATTTTTTTAAAAAATAAGCTGCTGTTAGTTAAGCATTTCAAAAGTAAACTTATTTCCTCAGGACAAATTCACCACTTCCGGTACATAACCACGAAAGGGTTGTTTAAAAAAAAAAAACAGCCTTTTGCAAAATGAGACTGGCTTCTGCCCTTGATCTTCAAGCAATGGCTTGAAGTCTCATCTTCCACGCCACACAGCAGTGTTTCTGTGCTGCTCTGTGGGCTGAGCTGAAGCTTAAGTTCCTCCCCTAGCACGGACCCTCGGCAAATGTGTTTATATTTCATAATAACGCAATCCGCAAACGGGAATGCCTATCTGGTCACGGCAACTCCCAGTCTCCAGCGGACCCCGCACAGCTTTAACTCGTGCCCCAGGAGGGCCGTGCAGCACTGCAGAGGGCCGATCCTAAAGTCACACCCAAAGGCAGGCACTGTCCACAACCCGCTTTCAAGTGGACTTCACACAAGCCGTGCAGGCTGTCCTCATCCGTGACTGAAGAGACTCCATGAGCTGCCTCAGGGACGCCGACTCCAGTCCGGGCCCTCCCTTCAGAGCAGTGGTGGAGAACTGGGTAACTCTGCACCCGCTCTGCAATGTGATGGGGAGACCTCATCAGCCGAGGATGCCGCTACACACCCCGCAATGGCAGGACGGCCCCCACAACAGGGACACAACCAGGCCGACTCTGCCTTCATGGAACCTGGGGACAGCTCGCAGTAGGAGCCCCAGTCTTCAGTCCCCCTGTGAGCACGGTATTCATGCTTCTGCCTATAACCTCTTCACTTCAAAAGGAGAGTGCCAGCACAGGCCCTCAGCTTCCTTATCAAATGGCGGGCGGGCGACAGCACTGGACACGCGATGGTCTCAGTAGTGAGGACAGCGGTGTGTCCCCATCCTCAGGAAACCCCTGTTTCTACACCTCACCAATGTCCTCCTACTCCCTCCCCCTCCCACTCCCTCCCACTATGGCATTTTCTGGCGCAGCCCACAGTCCTGGGTTTTGCTCCTGGTTTTTCTTTTCCCTGCGTGGGTATTAAAAATAGCATGAAAAGCGAGTTGGAAGACATGAAAATAGTAAATAACCTAAGGTGTTTTCCATCCCGGAAAGTCTATGATTTAACAGGACTTAAAAGGTTTGTAAATCAGATCTGGAACTTGAAAAGAGGTCGGCAGCTTAAAGAAACAGTCCCATGAATAAATAAACAACGTTAAAGAATCATCAAAAGCGCATGCGTGAACATCTATCAACACCAACTGCCCAGAACCTGCTGAAGGGCGGAGAATGAAAGGGAGCTCAAGTGTTGCTTCGTCAACTGCACTGGCCAGAAAAATGTGTATTTCGAGTCTAAAAAAGTTAACATTCACACAGCTTAAGCGATGACAGAGCATTAACATAGACATCAGGAGAAGTTCTCAACAAACCTTAATGACAAGCAAATCTCAAGCTAGAGAAACCTTAACTGATCAATACAGAGTGGATAAATAAATTATGGCCCAAGCAGACATGCACAGCCGGCCGAGGTATACGCTCTCATGTCAGACCAGAAGACAGATTCTAAACCACAGATACACAAGCAATCCTGAGACATAAACACACAGCAGTGAACAGATATGTATAAATAAATACACACAAACACAGTGAGTTGTGTTGTGCGGTGTTATCTGAGCAGTGGGAGGCTTATGGCTCATTTCTATCCTTTCTTTGTGATTTTCTCTATTTTACAACAGTGAGAACCTCTCGTTATGCTGCCTACTTACACAAGGAATACATTATTACAAATTGTTTCCGGAACTGTGCACAAGATGAAAAAACAAACCCGCACATGCCAACTTTTCCATTAATCACCTTCAGAAGCGACAAAAGCAAACCTTTACTGGGCACCACTGAAATGTGCTGGCACTTCTGTAAGGGCTGTAAGTGTATTAGCTTATTGAAATCAAACCAAAAAAGATCTTGGGTTAAAGACGGCCTGAGAGCAGCAGAAGCTGTGGCCTTGGTTTAGTTCCACCAGGAATTTCCATCTCCGTTTCCACAGCTTCCAACCAGGGGCGGTTTCACAAAATAAAATCATCTCTGCAGGTCCTCTCCAGGCTCCACGGCGACTCTGCTCGCCTAAGAATGTGGTCAAATAAGTGTTTGGAAGGAAGCATCTAGAGAATGATGGGGCAGCTGCATGCCATCTCAAAAACAAAACCCTCCTAAAAAAAGAACATGTAATTTTGTGTCTCTGTTCCTCCTCCTTAATATTTGTACAGAAATGTCATAACACTCTTAGAAAAGGGCCTCCATTTCCCCACTACTTGGACACAACTGATGAAACGGATGTGAAGTCTCTAGTAGAATCTCTGAAAGGTTCAGTTTGCTAAATGTTGTGGTTGCTTTCAACAATAAACCTGTAGTAAACAAAAACTGAGAAATACTGTGGTCGCGTCTGGGTAGGACCTTCTCAGTGTGTGATGAAAGGGACTCGAGGGCCCAAAGGTGCTCCACCTCGCAAAAAAAATAAACCTCAGTCCAGCCCTGAGTGAAATTGAGGCGCCAGCATGCAATGTCCTCGGCGACAAGGGTGGGGGTGGGGGGTCACTGCTGCACAGTGAAGGGCCCTGAGACCAGGCAGGAAGGGCCGTGCGGCTTGTGGTCCCACAGGAGGTGGCCAGTTGTGGGTCAGGGGGTCACGCGTGGGGACCACGGGGAGCTGGAAAAACACTGACCTGTTCGGGCTACTCCAGATCTCACACGCCACCATCACTGAAAGGTTCGTGGGTATCTTTAGTGACAAAATGAATAATACCTAAGTGCACGTCTGTGTGGAAAGAAACAAACGGAACACACCGGTGGGTCTGAGGGACCCGGGGGCGGACCACGTCGGGGTTGGAACCGCACAAAAACTACTTGGGAAACACAAAGACGCGAGACACAGAGCAAACGCAGAAGGCGAGTGTACGAGACACGTCCGTGCGCTCTGAGCACAAAAGAGAAGCGGAACGACTGGGGATGGA